ACCTGATCATGCTTCAGGGATACGTTACCAGAGGTTTAATGCAAAATTACATCATGCTTCTATATTCCCTTGACTTCTTTATTTACCCAGTTCCTTTCAAAAAATCCATGCACTGTTGGGCTTGATATCAAGTGATATCATTAATTATATCTCAATTCCCACTCTGGTTTTAAAAAAGACCCAAAGCAATTTTATTGACAACAAGAAAAACATTGTACTGTGCTAGAAAGATGAGCAGGAATTTAGGATTTTCTTTGTAGAAATATTCGTTAAGGACCTCACCTGAAACCTGGGACATATCTTGAACCTCATCTGTTTCCATTTTCCTCAAGTTATCTGAGAAGAGAGAAAGAGCCTTAAGTTAATGCAAAATAACACACACATACACACACAGAAAAAGAAAAAAAAAACCCCAACCCCACACACACAGAGAAGGAGAAAGAAGGGGAAAGAAAAAAAAAAAACCCTTTGCTATTTAACTATAAGATTATCTGGGAAGAATAATGTATTTTTCTCTTTATTTCCTCCCTGCATACTTCCTGGAGTATCAGACTGGCACAGACCTTGATCCTTTTAAAAACAGCATTACAAAGATTTATAAAAATATCATTACAAGCACAGGAGGACCAAATTTGTTATTTATTGTTAATTTCCTACTGCATAATAACCCAAAATGCAAACTGACTGCAACAAAATTAAGCAGAAAATTAAATGGCCCTGGGTCATTGTAGGCACAGAATTCATTCTCTTGGTTGATCCATAGTTATGTTCTTTCTAATTTACTGAGCATGCATCGATGAACCTTGAGTCAGCTTGGTGACACGCGTACAATCAGCAATCAAAAAACGAAGCAATTTGCTGAAGAATGTCTCATTTACCCAGGCAGGGCTGCATATCTGAGCAGCAACCGCCACTACTGCCATTAATAATGAATACACCTCCAGCCGCAGCAGATGGGCAGAGCAGCAGCTTCAGGCTTTGGCCCCTCACTCGCCCAGGAGCCCTTCCTTCAGACCGCACCAGCCCAGCGCTGCACGGGGGAGAAGTACAGCTCCCGAAAATAGTGAAACGAGCCCAGGAGGGAAAGGGAACCCATGCCTTCCTGTTTTGCTGACAGATGGCTGGCTCCACGGCATGGCAAACGATACCGGGAAGCTCCTGCCCTCCACTTGCGACACACCATCTTCCGAGGAGCCAGCAACCAGTGACCACAAGCACCAGGGAGAAGCATGTGGAGGGTTAGTGGGGTAGAAACAAAATTCAGGTTTTCAGTCGGAAAGGGACCCTGCAGGTCCCAGGGCTCGAGCGCCGGCTGCAGACATCTGGTGGCCCCTTGGATAATAGATGTGCTGCCGGAGCAGGTAGTCCCAGCACAACCCGGTCGCCACCTTGAAGTATGGTGTGGGCAGCTGAGGTAGCCTCAGGTGGGGAGGGGACAAAAAGCCTACAAACTCTTTGTTCAGCCATGCTGTGCTAGGTGACGTCTTCAGCTGCTGCGGCTGGCTTCACATTCTACCAAGCAGAGGAGCTGGCTCTTTGCTGTTCCTTATAACTGAGATACCTGCCCCATCAACCCTGTTTCTTGGAATTAAAGAAGATGCATTTTCTTGAGGGTTGGAAGCAGAGGAGTATGTGGCTTGAGTTCCCACAGAAAGGGTTCAACCCTTATCCTAACCTTTTTGGCCCAACTTCCGTAAATTTTTTTCTTCCCCAAAAAAATCTTCAACCTGCTACCCAACAAGCTGCAGTGGGAAAGCATAATAACCATGTTAATACTTATTCATTTCCTAAGTTTTATGTTCTCACTTGCTTCTGAATGTCATCAGTACATCTGAGACCCAATATACTGCTGCCTCCCCCTTGCAAAAGCTGGCTTCCCTCACCAGGTCCATGCTAGACTTGCAGAAAGAGAGCATGTAGACTGCAGGACTGAAGACAGATAGGTTGGGGAACAGATTTTGGTCTATGCAGTTTACAAAAAAAAAGTTTGGTATTCTTGCACAGCATTCTGCCTGTTGCACATGTACCATAGCAATGCTCAATATCCAAAAATGCTCTGTCTTGCCTTATTCTGTTCTTAAACTTTAATTCCAGACAAGCAATTTGTTTAACATCTATATGTAATTCTCAGAAATTACTACAGCCGTGCAAAACACAAAAAGCCACCTACCACCCAAAAATTTGCATCAGTTCCTATGGGACTGAAGAGCTTTCAATAGGTCCATTTTTAATGAAGTACTCAGTGGGAAATGCAACTTCTCTTGCAGGAGGGAAAACCCTATAATGGTAGCCTGCTCAGTTACTGGAAACATGGTATATTTATGGCAGGTGGTATGGTACAAGTGCTCGGTATAGTCCCTTGTTTCTCCTGCAAGCATGATTGAACACAAAGGAAGAAAAAAAGAAATGCCCATGCATCTATTACTGCCTTCGAGGGTCACCTGGCTGCTATTAATCAGTTGATTACTACACATTTTTCCACAGAGTACAGTGAACTCCAAACAACCAAAGAAAACATCCCAAGAAAATACCCACCAGAAGGGAGCCACTCTCATGAAGGGCATTTTATTCCGACCACACCTGCCTTCTGCCTATTGCTAGGGCTTCAGCAGGACTGGGAACAACAAGGGGAGGAGGTGGCAAAGGAGCAAATTTCTTCTATTTTTGTATTCCTGAATTTACCTGCCTTTGGCATGACAAGCTTTATGTTCAGCATTTCTGCAACTTAAGCAGCACACTTCTCAGCTGTGCTCCTTCCTGCCTCTTGCTGCCATCAGGCAGAATTCAGTTTGAAAACACTTCCCAATTCTTAAATGGAGAGGTAAACTAGAGTACAGATTGTTTTGGGGTTTTGGGGTTTTTTTTTGTTGTTGTTTTCTAATGGAGGTAAACTGGAGTACAGTTTATTTTCTTTTTTTTTAGTGGAATACTCGTAGGCTGGCTTTCTGTGAGGTTGGATGACTGCCTGTCCTGAAACAGTTGCCTCTCAGTTCTCAGTTCATCTCATGAAGAGATGACTTCAGGGATTATCCTTGAATTAGGTGATTTTAGGACATTCAGCAAAGCTGAGGCATTTCCCGGGGATGAAACATGGAGAGAAAACAGAGCTGGTGGAGAAGTGATGAGGGAAAGATTTTTTTTCCCTTAATGATTACTTAGAACAATTAAGCATGGTTCCTAAATGTAGATTAAGATCCATAAACACTAGGCAAATTGATAAAAGCGAAAAAAAAGAACATTAAAAAATCCTAAAGGGTGTTTTGAATCCCTCCCAGGGGAAAATTGTACTGTAACACTATAGTATCCTGTGGTATCTGGTAAATGCTAATGAAATCCCAGCTAACTTCAGCTTAGGCTCTGTATCAGCAAAGAATACATGATGGGACACACACATCCCCCTCCCCCCCTAATTCTGCAATGACAACAGTGTGTTGGTTTTGGTTCTGTGACTGTTAAAAAAGTTTTTCACACTGGACTTGGGCATAACATGTCTTGTGCTAAATTTTAAGTGCTAAGAGTAGAATTTACCTCGTTGCCTTTTGTATGGTAAATCTATGAATAGGAAACTATGCCCTGTTTTTCCTCCCTTTCTTCCTCTGCTCTAGAATTACCAGAAATGTTGTTGCTGACTTCCCATAAAGCAAGAGAGCCCTATGTACAGCTATAAGGATTTGCACCAAAGTATCTACTTGATATCAATTTGGAAATGAATAGATCTTTACACAGTTTCATCTAAAAGAACACTGCTTTAGAAATGTTTATGACATGAAACCCTAAATAACTGTCCATTTTGGCAAGAAAAAGAATTGTTTTGCAATTTTTCATTGTAAGTTGTATCTACAGAGTCAAATTTATCACTAGCATAAGAAGTGTGTATGACTTCACTGTCTTCAATGCAGTTGCATCTATTTAGGTTAGCAGCTAATTTAGGAGCCTGAAGTTAGAAATCAAAAGCTGGGTGGGCAGCTGACCGAAGCAATCTTGCTCTCAAATGCTGAATGTGTGTAGCTCTCATTTGGAGCAGGAAAGGGATCAGCACCTAGGTGATAATAAATATTTCTTCTATTTAGGAATCCAAATAGCTTCAAAGTTTGGCCCCTTGTTGAAAGAGCTACAAAGCTCCCTTCAAAATAGATAAAACTATTTCTTCAAGTCTTTTCAGATACAGAACTCTAACCTGTACCTTTTCCTCTTCAGACTCCAAATACTAGATTCACAGATGAAGCTACAGTAATGCTCTGGAAAAAGAATCAAATGTTGCAATCTTAAGCTAATTAATAATCAATACACAAACCTGAAAGGCTACGCTGATTTTGTTTTAAATAAAGAAGCACCTAACTGACCATGCTCACACAAAAAATTTCGGTTTAAATTAGTCAGCATTTGTCCAGGTTACCATCTTGAGCCCAAAGAAAATTTACGTGACTGATTTCCTTCCTTGCATCTCTCTCTGCAATATAACTTGTGCTATGTCTTAAGAATATATCAAAATACGCCCCATGAATCACTGAGGTACTGTTCCATTTACACCTGGTGTCAATTAGAACCAGAAGTGGATTTGGGACTTTTTAGGATTTCAGGTGTAAATAGGAAAAAGTCATTGCAAGGTCAAGATTTTCTAATCTTTCAGCATACAGCAAATTAATTATTTGCAAGTCTTGGTTTATTATTTCATCTCCTGTTTTACAATGCAAATTCAAAAGTAAACCTCCTTGTCAAGAAAATGAATGCTTAGCATTTATACAGTTTTTTATCAATTTAAACAAACATGTAAGCATGTCAGTGTTTCTACAAACCCTGCTCTCTTAGGATATGAAAAGATCACAGGATTGGGCCATTGATATAATTCAATGGAATGACCTAATCCAATGCCAAAGACCTATTTTGTTTTCTTGTTTCCTAAGCTACGTATGTACTGACTTCCCTGGGACAACATGTGCCTCACAGTCAGCACAATGGGACCTCACTTATGGTATGGAAATGAAATCACCAATTTTGACATTTGTGGAGCCACTTTGGACTTACACCAGCACACCTAAAGTCAGAGCTGTCCTTCCATCTACAGATAGCTCTATTTCTGGTGCTGCAAGGAGTCCACAAACATACACCACGTCCAGCTGCATGTTTCCTGACTATTTGTAGGTGTAACCTTGCTGAGCAGACAGAAAGGTCCCTGAAGGAACACATCTGGCTTGAGTGCACCCTGCGGGGGCAGGTACACTTTTCCACAAAGCCTCAGAGCAGAAGATATGAGCGCTCACAGAGTCTGGAGGTGGGGAGAAGAAACCTTCTACAAGGGACCTGGTGTTCTGCAGGTGCTCT